TACTCACTTTAGGCGAAGTAAAGCGTTTGTCAAGTTGCAAACGTGCACAATCTGCAACGAGTGTGTAAGAATACAGCTGAAATCGATTTGTGGTAAGTGACATGCGTGACCACAGCCAAAATGCTAGGAACCAGGCCTCGGGAAGGGGGGACTTCCGGAACTTCCGGAGCGCTCACTGATCAGAATTTTCGGTAAATTCTAGACAGAGGCGGGGCGTAAGAAAGGTTTGCATACCGCAAAACCGCACAGAAATACCTATAAACGACCCTATAAACACCACACAGAATAACATAAGAAAACCGCAAACCGAAAACCGCATTGAAATTACGCGAAAATTTCTAGAGTCTGTAAAATGACGAAACGGACGGCGGATTGGTGAAAAATAGTTAATGAATAAAAAATAAATCAATAATAACTGAATAAAATATTAAATAATAAATGAGTAAAATACAGAAGAAATAATGTTCGTTGCAGATTTATGTTGTAAAAATACAATTTGTAACTTTTCAAGGGATCTCAAAGAAAACAACTATTACAGAATTACAGAGAAGAGTTATAATGCCAAAATGGAGAAGGTACATTTGTCAGTACGATGACTTTCTTCTGACAAGTATGTGAGAAGAAAGTAATAATTCAACAATTCCGTTATTTACCCTCGGCAGTATTTACAGCACTTGTGCTATTGGGGCCGAGCAAATACCTGAAACAAACAATTCAAATTGAGCTTAACAGGGTTAAGAATTCCATCTGGGTGGAGGCAAACCAGCTGGCTATTTACAAGCATAGACGAGGATTTGAACTCAGGACTACCGTGAACAAATCCAGTTAGCGGTCAGAACGGGACTTGAACTCGGGACCTCCGCATTGCAAGTCCGGTGCTCTAACCACTCGGCCACCCTGCCTCCTCCAGGAAGAGAGTTATAGTTCTTAATGGTACCGTAAAAACCTGACTTTTTCCCTGAATTCTAACTTTGAATTAACTTTCGAACTTGTTGGCGCTTTACCCGTTAATCATAATGAAAGACCAATAAGTAAGGTAAGTAAGTAAAAGCTTTATTAATGTGTCAATGTATTTAGTTTTTACAACTAATTGGGGACACAAAAATAAAAATTATTTACAAATAAGAAATAATAATAATAATGTGTACACAAGTAAAATATGTAGTATGTATAAATTGTATAATAAAACAACAGGTTCATGAAAGGTAGTCTCTAAGAATTGCAAAGGTTACAGCAGCTATTGTTGTTGTTTAACAGTGACGTTAGGTCTTTTTTCCTGATGTTCTTTTTGAAAGATTCAATATTCGAGGAGCCTTTCAATTTAATATCTAGTTTCGACCATATATGAGGTCCTTGATATCTAAGTAAGAGAATGCTTTCCATAGTTAATAGTGTTAAAAGTCGGAATATCAAAATCACTGTTTCTTAGAGAATAACTAGTGCTTTTCCCCTTGAATAGTTCGTTAACAATACTCGGTGTGAGGCCATATTTTACTTTGTACACTAATATAGCGACATCCTGTAGTTTTCGATTTAGTAGTGAAGGTAGCTCTGCACGAACCAGAAGGTTTTCGTATGATTGTGAACGGGAGTTAAATACCGCTCTAAGTGCGCGTTCATGAATCCGCTCTATTTTTCTACTGTCAGAAGATCTACAGTTATGCCATACCAGATGGCAATACGTTAAGTGAGGCAGGGTGGATCATTTGTAGATTATCTGTTTGGCATTGCATGGTATCAAATTTCGCAGTCTCAATAAGACACCAACTTTTTGACTGGCTTTTATGCAAATGTTACTGATATGGCTGGTGAAATTAAGCTTGTCATCTATTTCAACTGCAAGTAATTTGATTTGCGAAGTGTTGGCAATGATCTGATCTTCAATCTGCAGGGCCTCGGTCTGTTTATCTGAGTGAATGTTTCTTGGATTGATAGTAAGACATTGAAACTTCTCTGTGTTGGCAAGTAGAAAGTTATCCCTGTACCATGACATGGCTAACTTTCCTTGATATTGTAGCCTGGAAGATGCGATGTTGTAGTCCGACCCTGTTAAATATAGCTGATGGTCTTCAGCATACATGAAAAGGTTTGTGTTTTTAACCAACCTGGTCATGTCATTCTGGAAAAAGTTCCATAAAAATGGACCAAATGAAGATCCCTGAGGACAACCACGAGACAATTTAGACCATTCACTTCTAATACTGCCTAGTTTTACGCGACTGTATCTGTCATTTAGAAACGATCGAATTAGATCCAATGATTGATTAGTGAACCCATATGCTTTGAGCTTCTTGATGACTAAATTTTGACATAGAGAGTCAAAAGCCTTACTCATGTCTGTAGATACAATGGTCACTAATTCTTTTCTGTCGATAGCATGTTTCCAGTCCTCTGTAAGCGTTACTATTGTCGTTTCACAACTGTGATTCTTTCTGTATGCTGTCAATCTTGGAGATAGAGTAGGGTCAAAATAATGGGTTATTTGTTTGCTAAGCATTGATTCAAAAACTCTTGTCAATAATCCATAGCGTCGTGATAGGTCGATAAATTTCTACATTATGCTTGTCCCCTTTCTTGGAAATAGGAGTGAGTTCTCCCCTTTTACCAGGTTCAGCTCCGTAGATTCACCGGTTGATAAACTCAAGTTGCATGCCAGCTTTCCATGTTTTGTGTTGCTTGTTTTGTTTGTTTGCTTTTAACACCCGGCGTTGGAAATAATCCTTATTTTTGAAAACTGAATTTTTGGAAAATGCAATTCTGGAGCTCTGATTGACTTAGCCATCATGGTATAAGGGCCAGTGTACCATGCTCTGTAGATATGGCAACTGTACGCGACTGCTGAAAATTAAAAAGAAGCTGAAAATCGGCTACGCGCCTCGTTGGCTATCCAGCATCTCGTATCCAACGCGCACTCGTGGAATAATTGTTAAATACCCATTACAATACGCAATGTAAAATAAAGTAGGGTAATATAACCAGCTGTTAACCTCCCGGCAGGGCTTAACGTAAGTGACGCACCGACGTTAAGGGAGTGTTTGCGAGACTGATGTATTTTCATTCTACCAAGGAATGACTAAAGAAGAAAGTAACAGCCCAGTCCGGCCCCAACAAACTACGACGTCTCGTTGCAGTTTTTAACGTGAATTGTGAAGAACATATTCATATTTAAATAAGTAGTAACTGAGCACTAACAAAGATATCCTGACACTGTAATAACTCGTAAATCACCAACCCCCATTCCTCCACACGGTACAATGACAAAAACAGCGACTGAAATGTTAACTTTTGATGGTGTTGTACTTGTTCACGTAATAATACAAGGTCAATTACGGAATAAAATAGCCTTAAAAAAAAGGTTACAGAGATACTAAAAGTTGTTTTCAAACCAGTGAAGGCTCTGGTAATGATCTAGACTTGGAACATTTTGCTTGTTCTTAAGCTTTTATGCACGCAGCGTTGCAATGAAATTAAATCGGCGTTTACACCACTCATCAAGACTTAAGTGACCAGTATATACATACGGCACAGTCATGTTAACGAACATATTCCTAAAAAGCTCAAGCTGTTGCTCGGTAAGTATGGTATGATAATACCAGGGTATGCTGCAAAAGATGAAAACTGGTTGTTTAGCCCTAATACACGCTGGACAACAATAAAGGTAGACATTACTTTGCTTACTCTTAAATTGCCTTCCCTGTTGAAAGCTTGGCATCATGTTAGGAACTATGACAAGATCGTGAGGATGGAGTGGAATCTGCCCTCCTGGCTTAAGGCTACTGGAACAGCCATAACACACACTCACTTGAGTTGAGCAAAACTTAAGAGGATAAACAATTAACTACCCTGGCAGTGATGATGGGTATGGAACTCGGGATTCTGACGTTGCTGAAACCACCACTGGAGGATTCACGATTGGTGCCAGTGCAGGAGTTGGTGGCGGCACTACAAAGGGTGGTGCTGCTTGACCGACAGACAGCACAGAGGAAGGACGCGGAGGCGCTTCCAAAGATGTTCGCTATGCGGACGGAGGTTAACCTGAGATCAGGCTCTATTTTCGTTTCGCTTTGAAAATTACATTCCGGCGGGCAAGGCGAAACGAAAGGAGTGCCTGATACAAACCTTTAACGAAATGTCTGCCGCCCACTTTTTTGATTGATTGACACTTGCCGAATCATCAGCCAATCAGAATTACTTCCGTTCCGCGATACTCACGAGCTCTCGCGTGTTTTACGGCTGTTAGAGGGCAGGAAGACGCCATTTTATTTACGGCCATTCACTGCACATTTCTTCGTTCTTGTGTGCTTTTTTTCAGAGTATTTTAGTTTTCATTTTATAGAAGTTTCCCGGTTGAAGTGTTTAAGGAGATACATGTGTTGTGCATTCAAACCATGCCAGTAGACGATATATTTTTGGAGTTAACGAAAGGAGCCGGTGCGAATTGCGGGTGAGTGTTTGGATAGCTTTTAGAGAAACTTAAGGGTTTATCTCACACTTGCGTTACTCTACTTGATCGAAAGTTTTTTTTCGACGAAGCCATTTCTTTTTTGGAAGACTCTTCTTCCCTGAGTCCCTCTTGTTATTTTATCTTATATCAGAATTTCCCTTGGGCTTAGCATAAACGTACAGAATGCCCAGCTCCTTAAATATTGACGGTTTCAGTTTCAAGCTGCTTTGAATCGTAAGGATATAACGTTCTAGCAAGATTGTAAGAATCCTGAAAACAGTATTTTTTTCTCTGACAAAAAAGACTGAAATACATGTAACCCATTTTTCTTTTGTTTTTTGTTTTACTTGTGCCACTTGTATTGATGGCGGTTGTAAAACTAGTAACTACATAATTTGCATGTCACTTTTTCTTGTCACGTGTACATCATCAAAATAAAACCGACCTTTAAAATCGTTTTAAAACTGGTAACTACATAGTTTGCATGTCACTTTTTCTTGCCATGTATACATCATCATAAAAAAATCTTTTTTAAATGAGGCGTTATTCTGTTTGTTTACAGCCAGTCATCATCATCCCAGTCTGACATGTCTTTAAAGGGTATGTCTGAATCTTGTCTAAGCAAATGAGATACCATGGATTCTGCTACTTCAGATGCTTCATGTTGAATGTCATTTTGGTCGATATCGCCAAAGACCTCATTCAAGATATCCAAGATGATTGCACAAACTTGAGGAGATGGCACAAAACACATCTGGAATATGTCCACAGTGGTGAACAACTTCTCACGGTTGGAAACTATGGTTTCAATAACTTCTTTCAAGAATCCATGTGATATTGTCCCACTTTGTTCAAACAGTGAGACTCTGGTTTGTACTTGGAGATTGGTTTTTATTTCAAACATTGCAGGACGAAGACATTCCCTGTCTTGATCTGTGACACCTCTTACTGCACAGTGTGATTTTTAACTGCAGGCGGCTGGTCAAAAACAGGCAGAGGCTCTGCACAAGCACTGTCCATACCACAATCACATTCACTGTGGCGGCGATTGCAACATCTGTGCTTCGGGCTTACATGAGAGTCATCATCAAAGGGGCGAAAGAAGCAGCTTCCTTACACACTCCTTGGACTTAAGGACAGTTTTCATGTCATTGTCACACAGTGCCTCATGTTTCCCAAGATACACTATGACATTGTGAGCCTGAGACTTGCCATCACGGCCTGCAAGCCCTGCCTCCTGCAAATGGCTGACCAGATCTCCTGAGCGACCAAAGTGAACAACATAAGTGACACATGGAAAGTCCACTCCCATGCTTAAAGAAGTCGTAGCAATAACTATTCTGGCTGTGCCAGCTCCACTCTCAAATGATGACTTTACCCGCTCTTTCATTTTCTCTGGAGTCACTGAGTAGTACACAATAACTAGGCACCGTTCAGCCAAGGGTGCCTCTCCCTCAACATATGCATCTTCACCCAGGTTTGTCAGGAAGTAGCTGAGGATCAGTGCAATGTCATTCACCGTTTGACAACAAAACTAATCGTGTAGGGACAATCTTTCCTTTCCATTGTCACAACCCAATTCAGATAACATAGCTCTTTATCGGCCTGTGTGATTGAAAATCGTATGTTGTCTTTGTGGGGTTCCTCTATCTGCCGTTGCAGTAATGCACAAAACTGGCACCTTCCCCAGATTGGAGCGCATTTCGTTGAGCCGTCCAAATGTTTCCCTGAAGGCTTTTTTTCCTTTACCCCTGTTGATTTAAAAACCAGCTTAAATGAAATTCATACTGTTAAAGTTTTGTCATTCTTTGATGTTTTATATTCACAAAAATCTCACGAAGTGATTGTTTGAAATGTTACAATTGCACATTTTCTTATTGAACTTTGAATGTTTCATAATACACATATCCTCAATAAAAATCAAAGTTGTGATTTTTGCTAATGACTTGTTCCTGCCTTTTAAAGAAAGTTACTATGAGTGATTCCCAGGGGGGTGGGTACTGCCATATGTAGGCTATTTTGTATGTGCCACTGTGCAGGGTATGGTTTTCAAGCAGTTTACTCTAGGAAAGGGTATATAAATCAGAGCGTTTGGGTATAGAATAGAGTATCATTTTTCAGGAAACTGATCAGTTGGTTGAAGATTTTATATAGACTAGGGATTGTGGTATAAGGTTTTGTTTTGGCTAGACTGTGCTAGTGATGTCAGTAGTTTCTGGAAAACAGCTACTCTAGGATAGGGGGGACTTGGGGAGTTTACTCTAGTATAGGGTAGCAAAATTCAGCTGAACTAGCTCTGGTATGGGTTAAGGGTTCCAGGGTTCAAGCGGCACATCCCTACCCAGAAATTCATAAAGTACCCCCCCCCCCCAGAGTGATTCACCCTATGATGGCTTAATAAGGGGTAAATAAAGAGTAGAGTTCTCTTCAGCTGTTTACACTAGTCAGACCCCACTTTGTCCTGCAGAGTAATTCCAAGCAGCTGCAGGGAGCTATAGAGTTGATAACGTGACATCAGGTTCAATTTTCATTCTTGTTATCACTCATACATCCGCTCTTATGTAGTCACACTGAAAATTATATTTTTTGTTTTGCCTTTCCTGTCAGAATTTTACTCATGAAATGGAAAGAAAATAGAGCCTGATTTCAGGTTATGGTGGTGTAAAACTTGCAATACAATACAAACGAACAAATGGTTTTAAATTTATTTTAAGATGATTTATGGTAGCATCTCAGTATTCCAATAACAAGGGTGGGGACCATATCTGGGGTAGAATCCTAAAGCTATGGGGTTCAAACACCTACAGGGGTTACTGTAAGCTTAATGTGTTGCACTCGTACAGTAAAACAAAACATTATGTAACCTTATGATGTCCTTGAAGGAAATGACCCAGAGAATGTAAATTATATAAAGTACTATTAATAAGATTATCAAGCTAAACCGTAGCTGAGGTATACCAAAAATCTAGCGAAAATGCAAGAAATAAAACTCAAAACCAAAGTACAATGGTGTACTCACGAAGTTGCTTACGTTTTTGGACGTGAATAAACCAGATATGTAAACAAGAAGAAAAGTGCTGTCCTCTTTATTATGCTAATCAGGTTCGTTCCGTTTTTCAGTCATCGATCAAGGGTTAGTAACGAGGAACTCTGCATACGAACATGGCGCCAAGGCATACACTTTATCGAGGTTTCACTCCCAAACTTTTCCGGTTTTCGCTCGGTGTCATTGATCGATCTATGAAGCCAGTTGAAACCCTTCAACTCTGTCCGCAATCCATTCACATCATTCAACAACGTTCCAGCAAATCCAAGGACTAGACATAAGCAATCATCAATCAGCGGTACGGCCAAAATCTGGCCGTAACGAGCACAAACTTGTAATAGTTTGTATCAGGCCCAATTTCAGCGGTAGCCGTTAGAGAGAATGTATGAGAACCGCTCAAATTGGGCCTGATCTCAGGTTAGACGGAGGTTATTATTGGGTGAAATAAGGGGCTGCGGAGGGTGGTGTAGCTTGCACACTAGTAGCTGATCGAGGAACGAGGGTAATGGCTAGCCTTCTTCCACCTTTCCTACGCGATGTTGAAAGCTTCTGGGATTTTGTTTGCCAACTGTTGACGCGCTGTCAGAGGTGATGTAACTTGTAATGGTCAAGGTGTGGCTGCTCCGCTTATACCAAGTGAGAAAATTTCTCCACTTACTGCACTTCTCTCACGGCTAAAGAATGCGTGCATATTTTTGCAGACTTGAAACAGGGATAATCCTCACATGTCACTCTCCCACCTTCTGACTGTACAACGTAATGTGGCCTTCCCTTGTCGCTTTCAACCATGAAAGCACAGGGCTTAAAACGTATTTCCACAATGGAATCTTTCTTATTAAGAAGAATAGAAGAGGGAAAAAAGAGCTACACCAGCTACACCAGACTTGTCTGGTCTTACAGACAGCTCTGGAGGGATGATAAGGGAAGAGTTCCCTTGAGCATCATCGTTGGTATTACTACTCTCATCCTGCATATATACATTTCTTCCAGGTACTTATCATAGAACGTTTTCAAATGCCTTTCAAGCTGACGGGTATTCAGGGAGAAACACTTGTCAGGAAACATTTGTAAATGAAGATAGTCATCTGCTACGGCATATGGCCCTCTGTTGATGACGGCGGATTCTCAGTCTCTCCGCTGTTGCCGAATAACTTTCTCTATTTTTTCGTTGAATTGAGACATTTCACTTTTCTTCAAATCCACTCCAATTTTGGTTACTCTGTTAACAGATTCGGGCATGTTGTTATACTATGCTTCAGGGGCAGTTGCCCAAGCCTGCATTTAACCGGACAGGGCGTAAAATTGTGTCTTGGATCATTCTTGCCTGAATTTAAGTGAGACAATGGTTAACTAACATAACATGCCTCTCTCTACGTTTCCCATATCGGCATTCCATACCAGACAAATAGCAGGACTGACTTGCTTCAAAAATCCTATCTCTTAATGCCTATCACATTTCTTTCTCTAGTTTCCTTGCATATAAGGGAACTGGTAATGTCATGGGCCTCGTATACCTACACTCCTCGCTTCGGTCGTCTCTACCTTCCTCGAGAGTAAAAAACATTTATCTGTCTGAATTTGTTAAAATGTGCCCGCTAAGGTTTTGCTAGAACATGTATTTCGATTAGAGATTGAAATTATTCGAAAGTGGTGTAGAGTCCCAGAATTTTTCCTCCAGGCTCACCCAGCCAAATCATTGCACTGACTGAGAATTATAATTATGCTAATTGTGAGCTCAAGGGAAAGAATTGTCTGGTGTTAACTGTCATGATTGGAGATGGAATAAATTTGTTTATTGGACTTAGCTCTCTAGAGACTGAGTCCGAGTACCTTCTATTACACTAAGTCAGTTGCTCAGATTACAGGAAATAAATAGACTTACATAAAAAAAATCCAATTCACAGCAATTTTTTTGTTGGCTGCTTATCCAGAATACCCATTTCGCCAGCAAAAACTAACATCTCATAAAAAAATAAATAAACCCCGGCCAAAGACCCTAAATTTCAACTCAAACCTTACTGATTGTAAAATTTGCCACTTTCTTAGAAGTTTTAAAAATGAGGGACAGTCTCTGCGTTTTTTGGATAGACGTTGGTAAATAGTTACTCGCATAAACTCAAATTAGCGAATAATAGTTTCCACGAGACTTGAACAACATAAATTGTTACCTGCATAAACCCAATTTAGCGAGTAATAGTTATCATGGAACACGAAAATTCATGATTCACCGTGTAACTTTTAGAATCAGAGCTGTTACCTTTTCGGAGATATACTGGTAAAATGACGGCTGCTTCCTAGCAGGCAGATGGGCTTTCTCTCGCTCATTCCACACGTCGTTGAGCGATTCTAACGGAGCTTGAAATTCCCCATCTGTCTCACAATCCACCACATCTTTGTCAGTGAAAAACGAAATAAGAGTTTACTATTATTGTTCCAAAAACCTCGTTCTCAGGGGCCTTTTTTCCCTCCAAGAGAACCTTTTAGATATAGTGAAAGACGAAGAAGCATGCACATAACGTGAATTAAAAAGGCTGCTGTTTAACTTACCACTCCCCCATCCTGCCATCGTCAATTCGGCGTCCAAACACGTCAACTAGGAAACTTTTTTGATCTTCTTGTTGGAGGGCGCTTGCTTCGTATAGAGATTCTTCGCCATTTGTGCCGCAGACCAGCACGTTTCCAATATCCTTGTTTAAGCTGACCAGTTTAGAAAAGAAGTAGTTGTACGTGTCATACGTCTTCGATTGGTGCGTGAATAGCGGACCAATGATGTCTGCGCGTCTTTAGATTAACCACTAGCAAGTTGTTGTATGTTGTGACAGTTACGTCAAACTTCTCTAGGTTAAAGGTTGGGTCAGCGCCTAGAACCCCGGGGCTGCTAAGATTTGTACAAAAGCGCAATATGTCACCAAGCTGATGGTCGTTAACACATGACACAACGTAACTCTGGTGCATAGGTAACCTCGCGAACAAAGGCGGACTTTGGGTTTGCTAATTGCTGCCTCTTACACTGCTCCAACAATATAACTAAGGAATCAACTTCTCTTTTTTCTGATGACCCACCCCTTAGATAACCAGTTTGGTTCCTGTTCTTCGGCAGGTCGAGGTCAAGGTTCGACAGGTACAGTGTAAGGAACAATGTATTGATCATATCCCATACTACCTTTCGGAATTGTCGCTTGTACATTTTTTCCGACAACCTTTCTCGAAGTAGCTGTATACAATATATAAATGCCTCCGCCACCCGTCTTTCTATCTTTTTTTACACCGTTTTCGAACGTAGAATTTAATGACATTATTTATAAAACTTTTAGATTAAATTGAAACAAATATATGCAAACAAACTTCCTCTGTTCGCAAATAGCTTGGCTAATCGAGGCGGGCAGAGGACAACATATAGTAATGTACAAGTAGGGAGGAATTAAGAAGAGGAAAGAAGAAGGAAGATAAATTTATATAAACGACACAAGAAAACGGTAGACATCAGTCCTTTCATTGCAAACTGAAAACCCGGGAATGTCCCTCCCATCTTTGTTTCCTGAATAAAAAGGATATCGAAAACTTCGATCGATTCAAGCACTTCGGTACATTTTCCGGCCAAACTGTTGATATTCAAGCTACCGACAGTTGCTGTGTCTGTAGATGGTCTCAGATTCTCTACTGTATCGTCACCAGGCTAATCGGTGTTTGTATCCTGTGATATGGATAGATCATCAGGACCAGAAGCTGGCCTATCAAGACTCCATTTCAGTACCTCCAGTGACGCCACAGAGACTTAGAACAGACCCACGTATTACCACTTGTGGTGGCACTTTAGTTGCTCTTCAGAAAATCCTTCACCGACAATCCGGTGTACTTCGCCGTGACATCTGAGAACAAATATTGCAAGGAATGGCACAGTGCTCTGTAGATATTGATGTTGAACACAAGTAGCACATTTCCTTGGGCAGAGGCCCAGGATTCAATTGAACATCGTTTGATAGCTAGATTATCACCAACGCCGGAGAGGCTTGCAGAAATGGTATCAGACAACTGCAAGCAATCACGGGTTTGTAAGTTCCGTGGGTTGTCTTAGTAGCTTTCTCTTAACTAGCATATGCGAAAAGTCGGGTGCACATCCATCAGTCGCAGAACCAAGGACGTGCGCCACAATAGGCACAAAATTGTCAGTGTGCGAAGCAGAACCATATGGTCTTCCTAAGAAGTAACTCGTGCACTAGCGATGTTCACTACACGCGCGAGTTCGCTAATCCAACACTTCTAAACTTCGTTGATACAGCACGACCTACAGAGATCGTTCACTCGTGTGGCAATATTGCGTACACCTAATTGCAATAAGGTTGTTATAGGAAAAAGCCAAAGCAAAAAGCTAAGTAGGAATTACTTAGCATGTAATTATCATATCTTGCAACATTCAAAACGCGCACGCTTTTAGCTGAATATTAATCACGTAATATGAGAGAATCATTTACATCAGTTTCTTGGTGTCATTCTGATAGAATTCGAGGCTGATTAATCAAGCGAATTTCAAACGTGCTCAAATTACAAACGTAGATCGGATAACTACTAAAGAAATAATGGCTCAATTGTTTTCGATAAATATATTGCCTGGGGTAAATCCAGGAACACGACGCGTCTTTTGGTTTGGTGATAACTAGAAAAGCCAGTTTGCGTATGGTTTTCAGTGCACAACACCATCTGATCACAGTTTTCAAGCAACAAATCAGTGGAGCAGGCAGGACTTTTCATCGCGGAGAGGGTAAGGGGTTCCTCCGCCAGTTCCTCACCCACGCCTCAACCAAGCTTCCTTTGTTAGAACATAATAGATTGGCGACTGAAATTGCAACAACTGGGACAACATTGCTGGCGTCAATTTACCTTTTTCTTTTTCGAATTGTGCCACTTCTGTTGATGGAGAATGCTGGCTCTAAAATGACAATGGCGCCTGTCCAATATCTTGTAGCGCGGTTAATGCCAACACGGCCAATTGAATTTTCTCCCCAGTGCTGTTTCAATCACTCGTCCTAGGTACAAATCTATAGAGTAAGACTCTTTTTACTGCGTTGACGGGTTTGCCTCTATTATTATTGTTTTTTTTTTTCGCAAGCGGGGGGGTCACGGGCCCATTACTAGCCACGTCTCTGTTAAAGGTAACAACATGATACAAGTAACAACAACGTAAGGTGATTATCTCTACAAAACTGCGCTTAGTAATAGACTTCTGCGTTTTGACCAGTTAGTTCATGTAGTGTATGCACAGACAATGGAGTCTTTTTTTATCGAGGTTCTTAAATCTCCAGGGAGCTACGATTTCGTAAAACAAATTAAACTCGATGATATGGTATAGATAGCATGAAGAAGTTTTAGGAATTACCTCAGCAGAGCATGATCTTGATAAATGAAAATTTTCCCGATCTGCAAGCTTCTGATGGTACACCCTGTAACCATCGCAGCAGGAAAAGGTCCTTTTCGGCAGCTCGTAGGTTAAAAACAAGGCTCCGTTCAACAATGACTAAAGAAAGGTTCTAAAAAAAGCTGCAAGGAGAGAAGAGACAAACGTTTGAAGGAAAGAAGTGCGCGAAAATCATGATGCTGCTCTGCATGGTTACATTTATTTTGTTACTAACTCCTTTCTCGTTTGTTAAACTATTTTAAAAAAATGATTATGAGTTTTAACCGTATTAAAAAATATTGAGTCGACACCAGGTCAACCTTTTTTAAAGTCCACAATCCCTCAACCTCCCTTCCCCCAAATACACTTCAAAGACTTCAAAAGAGGTGGATCGGCCCCCACACTTTGAAAACTGTAACAATTTTGAACCCTTTCGTTACACATCGGTGTTTCATGTGCGGAATCTTACGGCGCGGAAATACAGAATTATCTGTTGCTCTTGTAAATGACTTTTTAAATAATTGTTAAATTGTTAAAATACGCAAATGTAAATCACATGGCTAATTAATTCCTACTTGTCTCTTTGCTTTTTTCTATGCCAAAGTTATTGCAATTACGTGTACACAGCGCAGATTTCATTGAAAAACTGATTGAGATTCATGTTGTATGAAAACCAAGCAATTGATTCTTATACAAACAATAAAACGTCCAATAGTGATTGAAAACAACTTGAGCCTGACTGACAGCAAACAATCACTGCAGTTGCGCAGGAAAACACACGCACACGCCTGTTAGAACGCCCAAATTACTCCAAAAAATCCGCCAAATTTCACCCGACATCGCTGCCGATAATCCAGTCGACTATACAACTGTGACAAATGTTCCTTAAACCAGCTTCCTTGTGGTCAAACACAACGTGCACTTTATGAGGTAAAAATTACCCAATAATGCGGAGGAGAAATTGCCGTAGATGTATGCGTGATGATGTAATTCCAGGGAACTACGTATAACACAACTGTAAAAAAGGCTAAAGCCTTGTTCTCATATTAGAAGATGCCTTGCATGTGAAACACCATATTCTGTTAAGAAAAGGTACATGTAGGCAATGTATCATCCATCTTCCACCTTCCTCGCATATCATGTGAACTTTCTTTCCTTTTTTCCCTTAAATTCTGCCCAGACGGGGTATAAACATCAACATTTGATTTAGTAATGTCAGCCGCAAAATTGGCAGACAACAATTAAGTTATCAGTGGAAATATATATAATTCACCACACATGTAACATACTGAGGACCTGAACAATCGATGAAAGCCGATGATCGGAAAATCAATCGATTAATTACCTTTGATTAGCATCGATTGGCATCGGCCAATCGATGATTAATCGATAACCACACCTAGGTGTTCGCGAACTTCATCGATTGCCATCGATTGGCACTAAATTCATGTCTCCGTATCTTCAGGTATCGTGGGAGTGCACCCAGATCGTATATTATTTTTAAACCTCAGTAGCAAAGTCTGAGAATTGTTCATCAATGTGGCTCCGTGAAAAACAGCACAAATATTTAAGACAATTAACATATCTCGTTGTCAGTAGTACAAACTTGATCGATTTAGCTTCGAGTTCATTGCAAAGATTCAGCTGACCTGGGACGCGTTCGTCGTTCAAACACGATTAAGCTAATTGTTATTTCTTTTCCTTCTTCTTTCTTTATATGTCTGTGCAGACGCCCACGTCCACCTCGATCTCCCGTGTGGAATTCCTGAGAGTGATTTACCGAGTAGCAAAAAGTTATTTCAGGCGGGCGGCAAAGGTGACAAGCACAGTAAACAGTGACAAAGCAGGCCAGAAGTGATTCTCGTTCCCAGGAATCATAGCTAGAGACATTCGCCTTTATTTTAAATATATTTTTTCCCATTTATTCTCCCGTCAGGCCCTCCCACACAGTCAAAAAGTGCATATTATTGCTACTTAAATAAAGCGCTTCCGAAACTGCATTAAAATGGGTTATGATTTTTTATATGAACAGAGCAATAACACGAAATAATATTTTATAACCATTCGTTATGTTTATTTTGTTTATTCACTGTGATTCAGCTGTCTGACTGTCCTGTCCCGGTACATATTTTCCCTCTTTTGCCAGCCTGCGATGGTTCTAAAACCAAATGGTAACCTGTGGAGTAAATAAAAATGTAAAGAACCGTAGTAGTAGTAGTAGTAGTAGTAGCACTAGTCAAGAACTGTTTTCTTTTTACACTTTCCTGCAAAATGTCACACCTCTTTTTTAAAAAGATGACCTCGAGCCACACGGGAGAGCATAACAAACAATCGGCGTTGACACAGAGCCGCTGCTAGCGTGTACAGTGCAGGCCGCGTGCTAACTCAGTCAAGTAAATAGAAAGCTAGGCGATTTCATCCGTTTGCAATGACGTTGATTACTGTGTTACTTCACCTTCTGGTCACTTTATTGTTTAGCTTTTCTCCCACATACTGCGCACCTCACACGAGTATCACTGCCATTCAAGAACAACTAAACTCCTTGGGATACTCGGCGATTTCATCGCAAATAATTTGAAAGTAGCCCTAAGTGTGAGGCTTGTCAAGCGACGTTAAAATTCAAAAATTATTTTCAAGCCGTTTGGTTACTCACACTGGTGAAAAGACCCACCAAATAAAAGCAGGATGGATACTAGACGAGGAAAACAACATAAAAATGTCAAGACCGAAAGGTGAGAACTTTATCATTTTTATTACCTGTCTCTTTGTCAAGTCCATCGACTCTGCCAGCCGTTCTGTCATGCTGGCAGACGGCAGGCCGTTCGAGTCCTTCGAAACCGCACAATGCACAGCTATGCACGAAGTTTCCACTTTGTGGAAAACCTTCCGTTTTTTAGAAGTTTCAGAGTGGCTGGTGCCGGCATCATCATTTGGTTTCTTTTGCCCTACCAAAGTAGAATAAGAAAAAAAGAAAGTTCCTCACCACCGTGAGGAAACTGCGACCACATTGCCGCTTTTATCCAGTGTTTTGTCACATAGTCTTTCCGAAAAGACAAAAATAGTGATAATAATAAATAAGTAAATGATCTACTTTAAATGCAATGAAAACTCAGTAAAAAAAATTATATTATCTTTCATGATTTTTATATCTGATAGCTTTTGCCGCTCTTGAGGGCTCGTCAGAAATGTCTTCATTTTTTGCCACGGCTCGCGTCCAGCGCCTGAAGGAAATGCCTCTGGTGGCTCATTGAGAAGCGAGGACAGAGTACCTTGAGATAGGTTGATGACTTCCTTTGCAAAAACGGCAACCGAAACCGTGTTATCGCTCAGCCATTTTCTTACATCATGTGCGATTGACACTGGGGTGACTTCAACTTCTTCCTGCTTTCCCTCGTTTTTACCAGTGTCGCCTACATGTGGAACAGTAAACAGTGTATAACAATGAGTCAATTGATCAAATTTGGGCCAGTATTTCAACTGTAATCTAGAAAATGAAGATGTTATTCTTCAAAATCTCGACGCCTGTATCTTGAATTTGAGCTGTGAATTTGCATAATTCAAAATAAAGTTGAAAAAAAAACTTCTCACCTTCGGATGATCAGACACTTTCAGGCGAAAGTAAGGAAATCATCGAATAAAAGTAGAGGAATTGACCTGAACACACGTGTAAGCGAATAAAGAGGGTGCAAATAGGGTTAACAGTTAACTGATGATAGGCCAAAAAATTAGTACTTAACTGACAAACGAAAAGTTAACAGTTAAGTGATATTATATTAATGTTAATGAAAGCAACAAAGTTTTGCAAACAGAAATGCTGTTTTCTGACATTTTTCTGTCCTGCTGATTACCAGGTGGCACATTAGCTTATATTACTATGTGCACAAGACTATATTTTGGCATTGATAATGTTTCTCGTCGTCTTTTGCAATCTGTGGATTGCAAGGATTAAAAACAGGACATACAGCAACCAGATAACCACAAGACCGATTCCGATGAGAGAGTGACAGTGCCAAGAAAGGTGACCATGCATGACCATGTCGGAAAGATCAGTACGAGATCATGACTGGTGCGTCGGTATCTATTAGGCTGGTGTTATATTGATGGCTATACGACTTATATTTTCAGTTACTAATAAATTGTACTAGTGGTAGAGTTCATGTAAATTTATACCTTGATTTTATTAGGGCCAACCCCCAAAAGTGATAGACTTGCTGAAAGAAGGAAAATTCGGGTTATGACGGAATAATATTCGCTGTAGGAAAGTGAAAAAGTTAATTCGCCCAAAAAAAAGTAGTTAACTGAGAATTGGGTATGTGCGATAACTGCTAGTTCTAAGCATTTGCGTGGGCTAACCAGGATTCAGCTACAACGTCTTACGAAGTTGGTTCCTGTAACAAAGTGGTTTCTGTTTTTTATTTCAGGACGGCGCCAAATGACTGAATTTTTCTCTAAGACGAGACAGAGTGCCTTTCCATCAACACCGGCATCAGCTAGTGCACCAACACCTCAATCATGTCCAGTTAGTCAAGAAAAGGCTTTAGTAATGTGCCACGGCAATTGATTATTGTATCCGTCCAAATTACGTGAAGTGTAAGGGTTAATTGTATCACATTGCAGAATTTCTGTCCTTACAGGAGGGCAAAGTATACCGTCCAGCCATTTCACGATTAGCACGTTGGATGGAATCCTCCAGAAATGATTTTTACCAAAAAGTGGAAAAACTTTTTGCGCCTCAACGGGTTGAAACTGGGACTTGCCTCAGGGATATTGTTGCATTGTGGTTACCGTCAGAGGGACTGCATGTTGGCCTTGCCATCCGAATTTTCTATCACCTTCCTTGAAATCAAACTTTCCTGTTTTTGAGTGGCGTTTCGATTCACAGAGATCGGAAAAGTTGCTATATGTTTTCGAACACTTAACTTTCTGAAAGAAGATTCTGTTTTTTTCCAGCTTTTGCTGTAGGGTTTGCCCATTTTTTCTAGCACCTCTCTCAAAAAATGAACAGTCATACATTCTGGGTTGCATTCCTTCATCCTTTTCCTTTCTTCTCTTTTCTCGATCTCTTCTTTCCTCTCTCTTTCTTTGTTCATCAGCTGCAAACTTGGCAAATACTGGTCAATTGTGTTACACTTATTCTTCCCACCACTTTTAAAATTGAACGAACATGACACCGACGAAAGTTGTTAATGGCTTCTAACTTCCAAGCAACACAACTGATACAAAGGGTTAGAGCTGCAAGGGAAACACGCAATTCTACAGCATGTCTTATTTCCTCGGCAACCGCCATAGCAAGTAGTGCTTGTCAACCAAACACAGGACCTAGTGGAAACCTTTTTAGGAATTCTGCAGGTCACCTGAGCACAGGTTCCAGAAGCGAGTTAACCCCCAACTGCGAAACTGACAATCCCCCCTTCTTCAAAGGAGCAGGTTTCAGCCGCGACTGATGGAGATTCATCGTTTCCCCGAAAGCGTTCAGTCGCAGGATCGGTAACTGTTCTTTACAATTATGACGAGGAGAAGGAAAGAATCATTCATTTGCTCTTGCACATACGTTTTATATTTGACCTGATCAGCATTTATATGGACAACATAACTTATTTTTATGTGATTGCTGCACTTATGTCAATTAATGCTTTTCTTTTAATTAATTGCGTAGGTTTTTTGTATTCATCCCTACTTGGATTAATAATGTTACTATTGACGTGTTACATGTTTGCTCGGGTAAACGTTATCTCAGTTTGTAATAAAGTCGATTTTCAACATGCGGTTAATGTCCCCCAGTTTGAAGCTTGAGAGGCAGTCTCCCTAAAAGCGGTCCACTCGACTTCGCGACCAAATATACTTTTCCTTCATTTTTCGATGGTGAAGAGACTTTGGTAGGTATGTTCTAAAATCGCTATTTTTGTTTTCAAATTCTTTTACTTACCGCTGCTACAAGCCAAAAAACAAATTGAGTCCTTCTCGGCCTCTCAGAGGATAATCGAAAGACCAAATTGGTGTAGTTTGAGTGGCGCGCTGCAAACAAACGAATGCCTGCACAAAAAAAATCTGTTAAATACAGCTGACCTCAAATAGTTCACAGGCTAAATGTAAACATCTTTGACAAAATAAGTTACGAGGTACAGTAGTTCAAAGACTACCTATTCTGCTGGCTTAATTCAATCCCTGAGAGTAAGGAAGGTTTGAGGGAAAAAAAATCTCAAAAGTTGCGGCCTAAATCAAGGATAAAAAACACATAAAAGTAAAGTTTTAACCTATTTTATTCGTTTATAGGCTCAGACTTGTGGGTATCTTTTGGGATTGCAGACGACAAGAGATTGTAATTTGACATGGTGCGTATTTGCATAATTAACGGCCGTGTTGGATGTCACGATTGTAGAGGTTTAAAGTTCCACGAAATTGCCGTTTTTGACAGTTAAATTCGTCTGCAGCATCTAAAAGTCAGATAATGAACTTCTTTAAGCGCTTTTAAACCGAAAGAGATTATTAACAGGGATCGTCATGCCTATCAATGTAACGATCACCACGATCAACTGGCGGGCGTTACATATTTGAACCATAGTTGGTCCACTCTACTGTGTCTAAATCAGAAGCTGATTTAAGCTTTATCGATAATGAGAATAGAGATGACAAACCACGGACGCAAATCATATACAAGAAAAGCAATGTAGATTTTTTAGTTCTTTCCACCATTTCATGTGAAACTCACCGCGGTGCAAACAATTGTAATAATCAGACTGCCAACTATTATTTGAAACAAAGCCAGTATACACTGCTTTATCTTTTGTCGGCAAATGAGAAGCTTACCTTTATTTTAGGTTCTTAATGAAAGAAATTTATTCAGCCAGCCAGCAGTTGAATTAAATTTACTGACGCCTTACCAGCTAGCCTTACGTTATACGTTATTATCACAATCTAATCATAGCGTGATTGTCACGTAATGTTATGGTCACGTCGCTTCGTAACCTGTGGTGTTACTGAAAACCCCCGTTGGAGGGTGGACACTTCCTTATAAGGCTAATTGGGATGTGCCGCTGGACGGGGTCCCATTTTCACGACTGGATTGCCTATAATGGGCGTCGCATTTTAAATGGAGTTACTAAAATGGGGTCGCACATTTTCGGATTTTTGCAAGGTAAGACAGTTCTTCATATTTACGGATAGAAAAAAAAAGTGTTCTTCATTCATTTTAAAAAATTGGTCACGGACCTATCTAAAGGATTGATAAGGTATACCCAACAAAAATTAACCCAAGCACCTCTTCCCCTGGGCCGAAAACGCCAAAATCTCTGTGATCAACTAATTAAATACTCTTCTTGCAAAGGAAATAGAGCCTAACTCAGTGCGTTTTTTCTCTTTGAAATGTGCAGAATGCGTTTTAACCCCTGGAAGGTTGTAGGTTAAGCCATTTTTGACGGCATGGTATCGTTTATATCAGCAGGCTAAAAGATGTCACGTTGAAGTACTCTACATATAAACTGTAAAGTCCTGTAACAATCTGTGTAGCTGCACTTTTAGGTTTATCCATACATGTTTGTCTCAATGAACACTCTGACTTTTTCAGTGGTATATTCTAGGGATATATAAAAGACCATTAAAAACCCATCCAACCTTTTACCCCACCCAGCCAGGTTACTAATCATAATTGTGCAATATGTGAGTTCAACTCTAGTCTATATAGACAACAACCTTGAAGAATAGAATGACATGTCGCTCTAAAAATAATGTTCTGTATAGCTAACAGTACAAATTTCGTCAGGCAAATATGTTCATTTTTTGCTCAGGAATGCAACGCAACTTACATGTCGTCAATAAAGTTTCTGAATGCACAGGAATTATTCGTAAATCCAGTTTCTATTTATCTGCGAAAACCTTGCAACTTAGTTTGGGCCTCTACTTACAGAACTAACCTTATTCGTCTTGAGATTTTACAGAAACGAGTGATCAGAACTATAGCTAAAACCACTTTCGATGCACATACTGATCCAATCTTTCAAAATCTTGGTATCTTAAAATTTCATGATATATACTTAATACAACTAGACTTATTCATGTACTCCTACCAAAACCATACTCTACCTGTAAAATTTCATTGTAAATTTACCTTACAAAGTCAAATTCATTCGTATAATACAAGAAACTCGCGTAAATATCGTCTGCCTTTCTGTCGTACTCGAACCAAACAATTTTCCGTTTTTTATCAAGGACCTAAATTTTACAATACCTTAAACACCAACATCATTAAAGCTTCCTCACCTTTTTCCTTTAAAAGAGCACTTAAGGAATTTATTTGTAATAATGATTAGTATACTGCAACAAAAATCTTGCCTTTTAATATTCAACATTTGTAAACTTCTGTAATATTGATTAGCTTAATTTTCCACCTGATATTATTTTGTATCCGTCGCCGTAATTGTTATGCCATCTTCGAAAAGTTGTAATTGAGGAGGCCTAATTAACATAAGCTCTATAGTGTCCTTTAGGCCTCCTCGCCATTTCTTCCTACATTTTTTTGGCATCTTTTTGTAATTATTGTAATCGTGTGGCAAATAAATAAATACAAATGCTACAAACACGGCTCGACTATTCTCGGGTAGCATAATGTTTTTTAGGACACAATCGACTACATAACAAAGACTTTGTACAATTCCAGTGTTCAGTCATGTCGCCAATTTCCTACTTGTGGCCTTCACATTTCTTGACAGCTTCCTTTAATTTGTTAATTAAAGTGGTCATAACGTCCTTAGCCTTAAAAGGACGGTCTAGGTTCACACAGATGGCTCAAGTTTAGGTACGGTTAAGTTAGAGCGCGCATCCAATTTTGCGCGCTCGCACATGTCACAGCCATCATGTGTTATAGGATGAACAAGTCCAATTTTGCTGACAACCTCCTCTACTTCCGTGTCTTTTCTTTTCGGCAAGGTATGCCACTTCATCTTTATCAAGGCTGTCATCATGATCGTCGTCAGCCTCCAATTCTTGTTTGTTCATCCGCCTTTTGCTGGCTGTAAGCCGTGAAAAAAACCCTTGCAGTCGGCTCTTCGACAACCATTCACTCCTTTGAAACTTACGTTCTCCATCAGTGTTTCTTGCGACCCGCATGTCTCACCCACCTGGGTAGGATCGGCTTTTCTACCTGTGTCCTCACCAAAGTCAAAGTTTGCTGTGAGGTAGCTTTTTACATTTTCAGAAAACCTAGCACCTCCTCCTCTTGGTTTTTGTTGCGCCCAACCCAAACCACAAGGTTTTCCCTGTAATTGCTCGCTGCCTGTTGCTTCTTCAGTGGTGAACGACAATTTTAATTCAAGTGTTATAGATAAACTTTGCTGCCCAATCCGTGGGTTGCACGCACAATGTGTGATTTTCAAGTGTAATAACAAACTGTGTTCCATGCGGTGGTGCTGTTTTTTTTTTTTGCTAATTTTTAAAAGCCATTGGGTCCCACTGTTTTTTTTTTTTTTTTTTACCGTTCTCTGTGCCGTCGCCGTTTAACATCACACGATTTTTATTTGTTGTTTAAGTAGACTATAAAAATATTAACAAGAGCTGCCCTTTTACTGAGCCCTGGTTAAATCTTTTTAGTCAAATCCAACTAGTGGTCTATTATCAATAGCCGTTTGATTTGTTGAGCTACTACTAGGGTATATGTTATAGCCCACTAGTAGCGAAAAGTGCCGGCTTTGAAAACCCAAACAATGGAGGCTGAATCGCGTTTTGCTAGCTAAAGTTGTTTTGTCTCGATGTTTTTGACCAACTGGTTTGATTTTACTAAAAGTTAAAAACACTTATTCCTTTCGCCCTCATGGCGAGAGTCTTCCTCTTACTTTTGGGTTTTTACACTTCTTGACGTCTACAGCTCTAACAAGACACAAGCATGACAAGAAGGACCAATGAGCCAAGCTCAGCTCTATTGTAGAATCACAAACACGACCACCTGTGAAAAAACTACCTTCTGTTAATGGCAAGCAAAGAATATATATACGCAAAAAATCAAGTACGAGTAAAAGCAAAAGATCAAAACAGGAAAATGCCTACGCCGACAAAATCCAAACTAACTTTGACCCACGCAATGCCGAACGAAACTTAAAGGATGAGATAGACCTTAAAAGTAACTTTCAAAATACTTCACGACACAAGTAAGACCGTTTGTCGTGGATGGGAATCCTCTGAAGCAAAATTACTCTGCATAGCATGGGAATACTATGGAAATTTTGAGGAGTTTCTTGATCATCATTTTGACTTCACAAATTCGGAGTGCGACGTCATAAAAAGCTGCAAGGACTAAGGAATTAAGGGGACGAGAACTGTGAAAGAACGATCGGATTATACCAAGAGCCATAATGTGATTATACACATTTATAGACGGCGTACTTTCCCTACACAACTTGTGTCTGAAACATCTATATCCACAGAAATTGTTCTGACCACTCGATGTCGTGACTTGCAAAGCAGATAAATTGAATTTTGTTTGTTTTGTTTTGATTTAACGTAGCTACCAGTTCTTTAAATCCACGGCCTCTATTTCACCGGGGGAGGGGGGAGAAGGCAGCATACTGCAGGATTGTCTCATTTCTCGTTCAGATTCAGTAATGTCTAGGGAAATCATTGACCGCCCTCCCCCCTCGCCAAATACGAAGTTATAGTGAAGATACGGAATCTACAATAAAAACATTGTCTATACATTTCACAAAAGTGATCAATTGATTCAAGGGCAAATCTGCCTACGAAGCGATCCACAGAAATTAAACAAAAAAAGTTCTGACATTACATTTTTTACATACATTTTATTTTATTGTGTTTTGAAGGAAGAGTACAATAACATGCCCGCGGGTAGCTAAGCTAATCTAGGCGGGTCATGTTTACAGAAAATAAACTAAATACAGCTAAAAGTAACAAGAGAACTAAAGAAACTAAAATTGACAACAATGACTAGAGACTACTGATAAACTAATGGTATTACGAATAATAAATGACAACAGTTATGACAAGAGGCTACTTATAAACTAAACGATATTAATGATTACATATCAACTAAGAGGAAAGTAAATTCAGCTTAACTTTTTGAACGATTTGTGGGAGATCAATATAACAGTCTTCTGAAGCTAGGATCTCAAAAAGTGTTTGTTCTATTTTCCTCTTAAAGGCATTTTTTGAAAGTTTTCTTAAAGATACAGGCATTTCATTCCATATTCTTGTTCCGATTCTAGAAAATGAATTCACTTGAATTGACAGTCTGGAACTTTGTGTGTAAAAGTTATTAGAGGCAGAGGATCGAGTATTATAAGAATGATTATCAGAAATATCTTAAAAAGAGATCTTGAATGTTTCCAGGAGCATTATTGAGTCATTTCAATCATGAGGTTAGCTAAATGCTCATAATACAAAAATTTTAACGGTAAAACACCGGCGTCAATAAATAAAGGAATTGCATGCTGATTTCGCTCAGAAAAATAGATAAAGCGAAGAGCTCGCTTTTGAAGCTTGAGAAGCTTTTCAAGGTGCGATTTATATGCTTGGCCCCAGGCCGTCAAACCATAAGTTAAATAAGGAGCAACAAGGGATCGATAAATAGTTATAAGTGTATGTCTTGGCAGAAAATGCCGTAGTTTACAGATCAATCCTACAGGTCGGCTCATTCTAATAGCTACGTGGTCAATATGATGACAATATGATTATTATCCCTAGATATCTCACAAATTCTTTACATTCTAGAGTCACATTCTTATTTTGATCATTGTCGAATATCATTATTTTAGGGTGATAGGTAAGTTTTCTCTGAGCCGGTCTAAAAATGACAAAATTTGTTTTTTTAATATTCAAAGTTAGTTTATTTGCCGTTAACCAATCGAACAACTTGCAGAGTTCTTGATTTACAGTCGACTCAAGGGACTTGAGATTTTTGTCAGCATATACGGCATTCGTGTCATTAGCAAATAAAAAAAAATTTAAGTTTGTCAGAGGATTCTTGGATGTCGTTGACATAGTTTAGGAAGAGTAATGGGCCTAGGACTGAGCCTTGCGGCACACCGCAAGTAGTATTTTTTTCTGTTAGATATAAAGGAACCAATTTGCGTCGTTTGAGTTCGACCTTTTAAGTAAGACGAGGACCACTTATTTATAACACCAAGAAAACCATAGTGATCTAACTTGTGCAAAAGAATTTTATGATCGACTGTATCAAAAGCCTTTTTCAGGTCAATAAATATACCACATGAGAACAAGCGCTTGCCCATGTTTTCCTGAATGGTACTTACAATGTCAAGAATTGCATGCTGAGTTGAGTGCGCTTTGCGGACGCCATATTGAGATGGAGAAAGTATGTCATTTTGCTCGATGAAAGATTCCATTCTAGAGAAGACCGATTTTTCGAAGATCCTATTAAAGTTAGACAGCAAAGAAATAGGCCTATAGTTGTTTGCGTTAGAGTCATCTTCAGCTTTAAAGATAGGAGTAATTTTTGCCATTTTTAGTTTAGTAGGATACATCCCAGTCGAAATAGAAAGATTTAATTATTTCCGCGAGTGTACTGCTGATAACATTTGACGAGTACTTCAACAGTTGATTAGGACATGAATATAAACCATGAGATTTGTTAATTGGTATGCGCAAAATTTCCGATTCCACTTCAGCTGGGGTAACTAGGTTGAAAGCAAACGAAGAGTCAGGAGAGTTAGATCTGTTCAAAAAAATCAAAATATTTACGCTGAACGGTTGGTAACTTATTTGCCAGTTTAGGTCCAACAGAAGCGAAATGGTCATTAAGAACGTTGGCTATTCTACTTGGGTCACTGGTGACAGAATCATTGTCAGTAGGGTCCTTAATAAAAGTAATAGGTTTTGTGTTCTTCAATTTACGTGCAAGTACATTGTTTATTCCCTCCCACGTTTTTTGCATATTAGTTAAGTTATCATTAAAAAATTTAGAATATTATTGCTGTTTACTTAAACGCGTTGAGGTACAAATTTTGTTTCTATAGATTTTATAATTGGCGGTGTCACCAGATGCATATAACTTATTTTTAACTTTAATGGAGATTCTTATACCTTTGGTAATCCATGGTTTACAGAGTTGTTTTGCTTTGCGGTTTGAAATTGTTTTCATAGGTGCATGTTTATTTATTAATTTGTTAAACTTGTTATAAAAAGAAGAAAATACATTGTCCGCATCACACGGTTTTTTATTTAAGAGTGCATTCCAGTCCACATTAGAGAGATCAGCGTTAAAACTGTCCCTAGAGAATCTAGAAAAGTCCCGCACTTTCGACTTTTTTGTCTTAATTTTATCCCTTATAGATTTCAAAATACAGAATTGCGAAAAATGATCACTTATATCAGAGATTATATTTCCACAAGCCACAACTTGATCAGGATTATTAATAAAGATGTTGTCAACTAGGGTGGCGGAGGTAGAGCGAACACGTGTTGGTTTGTCGATTGAAGGAAAGAGAAAACAACTTTGAAGGGATGACAAAAAGTCGTGACTATACGAAGATGATGCGCATTTTAGAAGGTCAATGTTGAAGTCACCCATGATTACAATGTGTTTCCCAGAGGACGCAAGTTTTTCAATAGTCTCATCAAACTATGATTGAAAGATTTCAGGTGAGTTATGCTGTCTATAAAATATTCCACAAATAACATTTTTCTTATTCACAAAGGAGAACTCAGTCCACAATACATGAAAAGCTTCATTAGAGGTCTTTTCTAAAATACGATAATCAAGCGATTCATCAATAAACATTCCTACTCCCCCAGACGCCAGAGATGTTGGAACATATTCAAATACGTAGCCAGGTATATGTGCTGTGCACATTTGTAAATTAGCATTGATGATTTTTGTTTCAGTAACTCCGATAACATTAAAATGAAAATCTACTTCATGCAAAAGTTGCGTTTGAAGATTCTCCAGGTTCCGATTAAGGCTGACTACGTTGTTATGAAAAACAGAAAAGCTAGAGATAGTCTCATCTTTTGAAAACTTCGTTTTCATTTCCTTAAAACTATGGGGGGAGAAATATCGACTAGTTATTCTGTTAGGGGAGTAATTACGTCATTATCGTGGTGTAATAGCCGGGTTAATTCAAACACTTGTCTTTAATTCCTTTTAGTTTTAAATGTGGTCGATACTGAATTATTAAAACTGGCAAGTGAGGTTTTGGAAAGTCTTTCACCAGAAGTTCTCTCTGAGAGGTTAAAGAAATTCTATCAAGAATTGAATTTCAGCGCACTTGTCCATGCCAAATCGTACAAAATCATAAGTTTACTTCGCGTGAACTGGTTCAACACGGTCGCCGTGGAAGGGAAAAAGCCTTCGAAAGTGATCCAAAAATGTTCAGCACTGGAATGTCAAATTGTCCTGTAAAATATTTCAAAAAATCCTCAATCCTAATCAAACTACTGATTTTCTCCCTAGCGACGAAATATGGTTTGAAAATTCACCGATTGGAGTGAATAAACTGGGTGACATGATGAAGGAAATATCGCTCGCGGCAAGCTTGAGCAAGGTCTACACAAACCATTGTGTTAGAATGGATTTCATTGTAGTTTTGTTCCTGCCTGAGCTTTTCATAGTAATATTTCGGATATATTTTGTATGATTTTTGTGATAAAACATAATAGTAGTTTTAACTTAGCTGCAAGGATTCTCCGATCAAGCTTCAGGGCGTTCACGCATTCTTAACTTAGTTAAGTTGTCAATCGACCTCAGACGGATCGTCATAGAAGAATCCGTTTTGCCTAGGAAGATTGCTGCGCCTTTTGCCCAGCACCATTTGTAGTTGTATGTGTTTTGGTGCGCCTTCGCTGAATGTAACAGCTCTAGTAGTCTCGGCGTGAGGTGGCTGTAAATTGCAATCCGATTAATTTCAGCAGTGGACGGGAGATCCAGGTCCTTGGTAGTTAGTCGACTGGCGTTACCTCTTGACGCCAGCACTGTGTCTCGTGTCATCTTTCTAGTGCATTTGAAACTTATCGGGTTCGGTTGTCTTCGGTTGCCATTACCGGTTGAAGTATCTCGCTGTGGAACCCTGTGGGCAATGTCGATCTCTGATATGGAGACATCGACTCCAAGGCCAGAAAATAGCTTCACACACAACTCCGCGGTGTCTTGTTTCAGATTCGCTTTCCGAGATGAGTGGAACGCCCAGGATCTTCAAGTTATATTGGTAACTGTAGTAGATAGCTTTGTCAATTCTGTCAACGTTAACTGTCAATAAATCCAACCTACGAGAAAAATTTCCAGTGCTCTTGACAAGCTCGACTCTGACTTAACAAGGGCATCGTAGCTGTCGCTGAGGAATTGGACATCCTGTGTGTTCGGTACAGCGGTAGCTGCCGCTTCGTGGCAATCCTTCTGTTCCGCCATCTTGGACTTGATAGACTGAAATTCCTTCTTCAGCTCATTCAGTTGTCTCTTTAAGTCATCGTTTTCTCTTCTTAACGCTTTCACTCTGTCACCCATTAGTCAACGAAGAAAAAAAGAAACGATCTTAACTAGCCTAGCAACAAATGAACGCGGAGCGCTAGCTGAAGCGTCCGGTCCGATTCAAGGCTGAAATGAAACCTCCAAGAGATAAGAAAAACCGTAGAAAATATTAAAAATACAAACAGACGAACAAAACAAATAAAAAAACAAAGGAAACACTTTCTGTTGGAAGAACAACATGAAAATTTTGTAGCAGTGGCGAGAAAATGAGAAATGCTAGCGGCCACCAAGGTGAAAAAATGAGCGGGAGTAGAAAAACAAAAAAGTGAACAAGAACACGTACGACATTTCCTATATAAAACGTGTAACCAGGAGGTTTCTGGAAGTTTCACGTTGCAGTCGTGCAAAACAACGTCAAAGAAATGTACAAAAAGAGTGTGCTGCACGTGCAAAGTTGCTTTTTTACTAATTAGACTTACTGTTTTTTTTTATAACCGTTCTCGTTGCTTTCGTCGTTTTAATAGCATTACACAAGGGACAGCGGAGCAAGGTGAAAAGTGGGAGGGCTGACAATTGAAAATAATTATTTCATATTGAAAATCGAAAAAAGGAATAAAATCATAGTATTTGATTTGTTTCTGTCGCGTGACTTCGCATACTTTATCCAGTATTTGTAGCTCTCTATAGGTCGGCATTAGTGAAGATACCAAAATGTTTCATACGATTTTCATTCCGTCCAGCAAATGTGTTTGCGATCTGAGTCACGTCCAAGCTATTGAAATGTTTACTGGTCAAACTCAAACTCACCATTTTCACTGCAAGTAGTTGTCGTCTTTTCTGCAGAGCTTACAGACTTTGACGAAGTCCCAGATAACTCTAGTAAACGACCAACATACACGGTCAGTTCAGATTCAATGCAAGAAAAGACGCGATTACAATTTGAGTATAGAAAATACTATACTGAAGTGATCTGAAAAATTTTTAACTATGGCCGTTCACTGTTCAAGTAATGTAATTCTTCTTGCCATCGAATATTTCATTGATTTGAAAGGAGAAAGACAAAATATAAAACTTTTATCAACTCAAAACAACTATTCACCTTCGTTTGGCTTGAAAAAGCTAGTAATTTTCTTCATTTCGTCTGATAAAACTGATAAAAAAACTCTGCCGGAGCTGGAAGTACAAAACACGCTGCCGAACGAGGCGAAGGGGTGGCCAGGGCATGGTGTTTGATCAAGGGGCAAGTCGGCCCCAGGGCACAATTACCGCGAAAAGCACAGCAGCCCCACAAAATGCCTGTCGTTTGAAATTACAAAGAAAATACAGAGGATATAGCGGAATATAGAAGGAAAAAAACTTGTTTCAAGTCTTTTTTTTATTCTGATTATTTTTCTTTTTAGCGCAAAAAGTAAGTGCGGGGGCGCAAAAAAGTGGTGGGGCCGCGGCCCTACCAGCCCCTCCCCCTCCGCGGTCCCTGTACACGGTTTTATATTTTTTCTTGAGAAAACTATAAATATGATCAAGAGCTTTGCTTTTCGCGCTATTATGTTTTCTTTTTTCGGGAGGACTAGTGTAAGAAGAGTTTCTTTGAAATAAAAGGTTTCCTCGACTCTACAATTGGAGTCCTTCCCTTTCCCTCTTGTTTTTCCCGCCGTCGGTGCGGGTGCAGAGCGCCTGGAAACGAGGCTGGAGTATCAGCGCTGTCCGCCATGTTTAGCTTATTCAGCTGGGGTGATACAAATACGAAGAGGAATTTTATGTAAGGTATGAACCCGTAGTTTTAGCTTTTTTGGGGCGTCAAAGACACAAATGACATCATTTTATTAACAGAAGGTCGCTTTTATCTCGGTTCAAAGCCTTTTGTTAACAAGAGTCAAACAACAGCTGACGGACAGTCTTCAATCCGTACCATGCATTAAATTCTGATGCATGGAAACAGATCCCAAAAGCTTCCTACACTCTGAAATATTTTGAGTTTTTTAGCGACGTGTGTCTGGACGTGTAGTTATATATATAGTAAAAGTAGTTCTCATAAAGAATTCTTTCATTGCAGTTACCGAGCTGAGGAGATGAGGGGATTAAAACTCGGAGTCCCTCGACTGACATCTTGCACTGGTTAGTTAACACGACGAAGTTATTTTTTTGCTCATTTTTAGGTGAGCTTTAGCTTTGTTTTACTGTGTAATACGACTTTCATGAGAGTGCAACCTACTTTCTCTCATACGGATTTTAAATAGTACTGGCTGTCGGCGCTACATATAATTATTAACAAAAAGAACACTTAGTGTAAGAACTGTTGGAGAATGTTTTTATAGTTTTGTCTCATTCAATGGGGTATGTCAGCTGCCAGGGGAGAATGCGCGCTAACGTTATGCAAATTACTTCCAACTGTCAAAATTATATTTTTTTTAACACCTGACTTTCTCTGTTATGTTCAACGCTCCGAAATTGACAGAGACGTTTACACGTGAATTAGGTTTAGATAAGGGATATTTTGATAGAATTTGTGGAACATTTCGTCTCTGGTTATGCTAGATCAAGTACTAACAATTTCTTTGTCAACAATGAAAGTGTTAAAACAATTTTACTTGTAGTCACGAAGTAAAAACGCATGCCATTCATAAAAATAGAGTGCAAACAAAAATTCAACAACAACATATTCTTGTAGTCAATAAAATTAATGAAAGTTTTAATTTTTAAACAACCTACAAAAGACTCTAGACCAAAGGTAAAGACCAAGACTGTTTAAAATCATTAACAATTAGACTTGTCTGTCGCTACTGATTGTATAATTTAGCTGCTGACAGAGGAAAAGAGATGCTGTTTTTGATGTATTTATTTTGATCTTAAGGAAACACACATCAATCGTGCAAAATTGTCCGATCATGCTGAGTCACTGCGACATTGAGATAAACAGAACCAAGTATCATTGGTATACTGCTCCACTGCAAGCAGGCCATGAATAAAAAGGGAAAGTAAACTCTGCTATTTGCCAAAATTATGCTTCAAAAACTCGTACTGGGACCTCTCTAAGTCCATTGAGAAGAAGCTGGAGCAGCAAACGGTCGTGTATATCGAATACTTGCATGAAAAATAATAAATAAATAAATAGATAAGTGAATTACTGTTTGCTTATTTACACTAAGTCAGTTAAAATGATTACATGAAAATGAAATTAATATGTTTCACAGAATTAATTCAAAGAGAGAAAAAAAAATGTATGTCTTAATGAAATTGTAAATTAAGAGCTAGTTTAAAATAATGTCAAATCTTCAAAGTTTTCCTTAAAAATATGTGACCTTCTTTGGGAAAACGTACACTAATGATGTTTCGTTATCGTTAGAAAACTAACAGATAGCTAACGGATAGCTAACGGCTTTTCTAATGTTCTAACAATTAATTTTGTCCAAATGCTCTAGCAATTTGTTCTAACACTCTAATGATTTGTCCAAATGCTCTAACGATTTGTTCTAACACTCCAAGGATTTGTTCTAATGCACTAATGGTTGAATTGGTCGAAGCAATGTCCTTTGTTGACAGTCTGAAGTACTTCATTGGTTGTGTTACGTGTTAGTTATTTTCTTTAATTTGTGGTTGGTGGTTTTCAATCCAATGCATTGTTGTCATTATTTGAGGACGAAATTGTTCCCTCAGCTGTCCGTTTTGATACCGATCGACTGTTGTGTTGTCAGCTCAGAGCCATCCATGCTAAATTTGCTAGTCATTCTTAACTTAAAATCCCAAACAGCCAAAGGAGTTCGATTGAGCCTGGTATTATTTTGACTCGTGTCATTAAGTTTGATTGTTTCGTTAGTCAGAGTATTAGAAAAAGAGAACTTAATCCGACGATTTTTGAGCTCGATCGTGTTAGATAAGTTCAATCAAGTTCGATTGATTCGATAATCGAACTCATGAAGAGTATTGTTTGATTATGCTCGCAAACTCAATCCAACTTAATAGTACCGTTGAGCCTGATTAGCTGAAAAATTGATCAACTAAGTGTTGATGTTTTACAACCACATGAAATATCTCTTAATAAAAGAGCTTCAAGATCTCCTAATTGTGCACCATTTCACCAGCTTGGCACAATGAACGATGCCTATAAATTTTCCTTTTGTCTTAGAACTATCAGAACTTGTAATAGCGTACCCTTATCTGTAATCGCTGATTTATTAGAGGAATGTAAAGCCATTA